AATTCTTTCGGAGAGACGTCATGATCACCCAGAGAAAGGTAAGACTGTCGCGATGCAGATTCCTTGGAAACCTCACGGGTCGGGCTGGCACCCAAGCCATCAGCTTCAGGCATGAAAGGCATGCCATCCATGTCAGCCATAGCCACTTCTGGTTGGAGCGTGGGGCTCATCAGTTCCAGTGCCTGGAAGCTAAGCGTTGCCATCGCGTTGAAGCCGACGTCACCCTGATTCGAACACATGTTGCTGCAAACGAAAATGCACATGTTGAGAGACAGCCCGTTGCTGCCTTACTAGTGGCAGCCTTAGCAACTTCCTGGAGGGCTAAATCCGGGCTGAAATTCTGAACGCATGGTAAATCCACTGCTCCCCCTAATCGCACCGCGCTGGATCCTCAGAGCTGAACTGAATTTGATCTCAAACCTCTGAAGGACCCTTGAACTTATTGGAGGGCCAGTGTTGCATAATGGATTGCTTTAGTGGGTTTCACCCCCACCTGCACACCAGTGAATCATAAACCGTCACAAGCGGCACGTTTTTCAGAATGCACCATTTCAGATCTGAGCATCTTCTCCAACAGATGGCGGCAGCCAAGAAAAATAGCATTATCAAACCTCTAGTCGTTTGCAGGTCTTGTTATCAATTGCTCTGCCGCGACGTGCGCTGGCCATGCAGCACAAAATTGCTGCTGAAGACTTGGCCATGCGTAGTGTAAACTCTAAACGGCCAAGCTGCCGTTGTTCACTGGATTCCAAACGGCGAAGCATGGCGAGCGATCAACGCCTTGCCACGCTTTGCCAGTCCCGCTACTGCGTTCCAGGATGAAAAGCAAGATCTGGATCTAAACCAGACGTGCGATTGCCCAACTTTCAAACACCTCTGCTTACGAAGATGTTGCTGGGACGGCACCGGACCTGCCTCAGCTGCAGCAAAATATCTCAAGCCCTCCAGGCTGGAGAAGCTGCGAAGTCACAGCTCAAGAGACAAGCGCTAAAACTTTGCGCAGCTTCAAACCAATCTTGCTGACATGGCAGCTCAAGATTGGGCTGCTACTCTGTTTGCTCTCACGATGGATGGCCCAAATAATCATATTATGAAGGAATTACATTCCCATAGTCCCTACTACAACCCCAATACATACTCAAGTATGATGTAGTAGTTTCCATTTTTGTTTCCAGTATCCCTATAATCCCTATTTCGTGTACCAAGTAAGCAAACCTAAACCCTAAACCTTAAATAGAAGTTTCCAGCATCTTTCCCACCCATTATCCCTATATCACTCCTATATAATCCATAACAATATATGTATATATATATACACCCTACTACACTACAATAGTCTCCATTTGCTTTTCCTTTTTCCCAATACTAGCCCGATGTAACACCTATACATATATATATATATAACCTGTTATCATGTAGCAGTTTCCCTTTTCTTGCAGAATGGGTGTCTACAGTACTCAGCACAAGATTGAGGTTCTGGTGAGCGCATGCTCTTGGAACACGAACGGAATTATGGTTCGGGCATGGATGCTCTGGTAATCGCACTCACTGGAACACGAACGGATTTATGGTTTGGGCATGGATGCTCTGGTGAGCCTATGCTGGTGACCGGGGGTCGTATTCGAGTATTGGAGGTTTTTGTCTCTATACTCGGCGAGACGTGGGGTCGGAAGGCTAAACCCTAAACCCTATATAACCCCTATATATATAGCCCCCAATATGCAGATGCTGGGCCAAGCCGTCTTTGAGGCTGCCTACATCAATGGAGGTCTGCTCCCCTTTCGTTACTGCTGGAAGGACCGCTGCAACTACGGCAAGTGGAAAAGGCTTCCGTCAATAGCTAGAAACATCAAATGCGACTGATCCGCCTTTGTCTACGTGGTACTTCAAGCTGGACAATCTCAAAAACGCAAAATGTGGCAAGGGTGCCCGGCCCTTTCTGCCCCGAAAGCTTAGTGCCCGGAGCCTGCATAAGCAATCATATCATCCCACGCTGCGAGTGCCCAAATTGGGCAACTAAATTTCCCAAATCCCCTCCCTGAACATCCTAACTCTACTACAAGAATGCTCATCAGAATGTATGATGCGAGCTCCTGCTATCTCATAAGTCTCATAATCTGGACCATGATAGCTATGAACTCGTCAGCTGGGGTTGTATAAAAACCCCGTATTGAATCCTTCATAAACTTCAACCTTATCGTTTTTCTTTACTCCTTATCGTTTTGCTGTGTTTGGGGCTTCCTTGCTTTTCCAAGTATTAAACTGCTAGTAATTAGCTGTCAACAAAACAACAATTAGTCAGGTAGTT